TTCGTGAATTGCGGGTTAGCTGACACATGCCGAATTCATCAGCGACTCTTCAGTGTCTCTTGTCTGGCAGAACTGCAGCCTTTGTACATGGCTTGAAAGATACGTGTCGAAAGATTATCGAATTTGAAGGATTTCATTGCCTGACAGCGTCTGCTAAGTTTTTATCAACTATATTCGAAACAGTATGCAGCATTGAAGCTCCCGCGTCAGAGCAGACTAATTACTCGATTTCAATAACACTGTCTAACTTGCCACTGGAAGCGCGTTAGATAAAACTGGATCATTTGATCGCATCAGAGAACCAAATAGTCTCAATAAATTAACTTTTTCCCTGGGAGAGAAAAAACGAATAGGTAAGTAGGCAACATTTCCTAACCGATCACTTAATTCACTCCAGTTAACGACCCTTGAATTTTCTGCAGGGGTGAATTTGGAAAACAAGCTCTTGGTACACTTTTTGCAATTTGGGATACCACTTTTGTTCGGTCATGGTACCAAGTAAGTGGACGAAAGTCTATTTCTGTCCATCCATCCCTCAATGTTGACAAACGATCAATTGGTAACTCAGTACTTCTGACCTACTTCAAGAGACGTTGTGAGTTCTCGACACACCGCTCAGAAACGCGTAGTGTGCAGACCTATTTAAGGTAGACGAATGAACAACCGAATTTACTATATTTTGGTTTGTTTTTGAAGAGCACGATGATCGCAAACACAAGAATGCCAGCGATCAGACGTGGTATGAATGTAAAGGAAGCAAGCGAACTCCCAGACAGACGCAGTACAATCCTCGGTTTGTTTGAACAAAGCGGCTTACTTAGGCTTCAGAGATTTAGTCGGGTGTGCTTACCAGTTAACTACACGACTGATAGCCAATCGCTGGGAAAAATTGTTCCAGTATCCCGAACAGCACGGTTTATGTATCACAAAAACTGTAGTGACTGTGACCCTTGGTCGGACCAGCCGGCACCGAAAGTCCTCACTCGGTCAAGCTTACCTGATTGGGGTGCGCGTGTCAGCGGTATTGACCCAGACCAGTGTTCGCCAGAAACCGGCAATGAAAATCAGCGCAGACCAAGTGGGTGACCATGTTCGCACCAAAAATTTCATGAAGGTAAATTCGACGGTGGACCACCAAGGTAGTTTCCGCTTCGCAGCATTGGCCATAATCTTCATACGCTTCACGTGTCTATCCTGAGTACCTATTGGAATTGTTGTAGAGACGGTAGCCGGATCGCGGTGTCCAGTGCCGAAAATAAACCAGGTGGTTGAAACCAAACAAGGGTCTGGCCTCCTCTGGAGTTGCTGCACTCCCAGCTCAATCAGACTAACTTCCTGGCTACCCACTCGGAACAACGTGGAAGTGGCTCAGACCGCCGAGTAAAATGACTAAAGAATGACGAAAACAGCAGCTACTGCGAGCAATTTTTTAAGATCATAATCACAGACAAAAACGGTGGGCAACACTGATGGTGAAAATTCCATAAGGACGCAGAAAGAAGATGGAAACAGTCGAGAAACACCAGATCACCACCAGTTCAGCCATTTATCTTAAATAAACCCGAAACAAAGAGTGGTGTTCGTGAACACACCAATTCGATTTCAACCAGGCTCTAGTTTGTAGTATTCTTCAACGGAATGAGATGCACATAGGCCGTCCTGTGTTTTAGCCAGTGCAGTATTTGAGATATTGCAGTATGTTTCCTTGAAGGGTTGCTGCAAAGACGTTGATAACCCACGATATGCTCAGCCGTTTTGTGCAGCCCATTCGGTTGAAGAATATCACAACTGAGGGATTCAGATGACTCTCCTGTTGGGAAAATTTGGTGTGTAATTGAGTATATTCCTTAAATTTGGTACAGTGAGGGTCCAAGTAAAGCCTGAGGTTAGTGAAAACTCGGGAACCGAGCCTACCCGATGTGCTCCAAGAGGGGAGAAACCAGCTGTGAACTACCGAAGGCATTCTCAACAGCCTTATGAGTAGCGCTCCTTGAAGAAGTACTAGAGTTCAACAGTAAAGACATGGGTAAAGGCCGGAACCTGAAAAACAGATATGCATGCTCAATGCTGTTCAAGAGGCAAGAACAATCTAGACCGGCCCTCGAGGTAAAAGATGTCCGTCACACAAGGTTAATTGTAAAAGTCATAGAGAGGACAGAATAGTCACTTACCTTGCATGACATCATACGTGAGCACTGGCCATTCGGTACTGACTGTGACCTTAGAGAGCCGCAGACCAACAATAGCTGTGATAGAGTAAAGGATTGGAGACGAAATGTCAGTGGCGTGAGTGACAGTGAACCGTGTTCTCTACTGCGAAACCCGGACTACCAGATATACGTCATAACTACTCACCAGTAGCTTGCATGATCAAAGAAACACATGGACTACTTAATTTCCTTCACTGGAAAACCGGGTTTCAGTTTGAATGATAACTAAGATAAAAAGGGTTAGAGGGGAACCGAAATGATTCTTGTGATCACCGAAAACAGCCTGCGATGTGGTGGCAGATGTGTGGAACGAAATCAAACCGGATTCACCTACACGAGGAGTTTGGATCGTGAATTGAGCGTGAGCAGCCTCCATTTTGTCGACGGTTTTCCCCAAATTTCATTTCCTGAGAAAACTGGGCAATATTTGAGAACTATTTCTGACCAGTAAAGATTGTCGACCTCAAGTGACACTCCCCGCGAAAACCGTACGGCTTGTGCTTTTCATATCATGATTTCCTCTACAGCGCGATGAAATTTGCTGCCAGTTCACGGGAAGGCTTGCCACAGAAAGGACATTAGTAGGGTGATGTGTTCTTACTCATTCTACCAGTTGAGTATGTTTTCATAGCAAATGATTAGCATTTAAACTGGAGTTCAGTAGCCTGTCAACTAAATTAGGTGAACCAGTCTCCATTTGCTGTTTTTCAAATATTTGTTCTCCACGCACAAGCACGTGTATGGACTGCACAGAGGCGGCTTTAAATCGGGTCAGATATGGGCCGTGGAAGTTTTTTTTCTGTCCACAAAACTGACAATGACGGCTGTCCGATACAACAAAGTTTTGATAGGAATACAAAAGAGCTCAGATGTCCATTTTATTTCTTCGTGAGATTGACAGATAAGTTATACTTATCTCCAGGTTGGAAACAAAACTGGATACATTGTCCCCCAGTTTTTATCCACCAAACGATCATATATCACTAGAAGACAATTAGACGGGTGTTTTTATTATTAATTCTTGTCCTTATTGCATCACACATTCTTCGGGATGTGTGCGTGAGCGCGAATCCGTGTGTGTGTGTGTGAGTGCGTGCGCGCGCGCATCCATGTCTTCCTCCGTGAGCTAACAAAACTGCTCCTTCTTTCGTATACTCCCCGGTCTCGTCATTTTTCCACAACACGAAAAAAAACCAAAGATTAATGATTGAAACAAAAAATCCATCCACTATCATTATTCCATTACCCATGCAAGTTCACTCCCCTATCGATCGATTGATGCCTTCTCGTTCCGTTGTGTATCATGTTCGGTTAGCTTCATAAGCTACCTGGATAGTGGTTTTTGTTTGTTGTAAATAAAGAGTCGCTCGCATGCCAACAAAAGATGACTGTGTAATTCATCTAACGTGGCTCATATATGCATGTATCAACATGCGCCTACTGCTTCCTCGCGGAGCAAAGTATGGTAGAAGACTCTGTCTGTTAAGGTATACATGTACATATAGTGTACATGTGTGTGTGTGCGCGCATAGATACGCATGTGCACGTCTCAAGCGTGCTGGATGCGCTCTTCAGTTCAGTTTGTTCATCAATCCGCACCTCACGCAATTCATTCATCCTTATCTCAGTTTATTGTTCTCACATAGTCTCTGCATGCCTTTTCCGGGATTTCGTTCCGGCCATAATGGGAATTCTTTCTAGAACGAGCTAGATTACGCAGGCATTCAGTTTGAAAATCGTATGAAACAGAGAACGCTGTTGAATTATTCCTGTGTTCGATGGCCAGAAACCGCCTTCTGAAAATATCCAATGTAGGCCTGCTTGGAAATTGTGCGAAGGCAGTGAGTTGTTCCCATTGGTGTGGTCACACGGTGAAATTACAGAATTGCGATGATATGTTGGGAATCTCCTGTTTGCTTGGTTGGAGTCGTGCTTCGTAAGCTCTTGCAGGTGAACTGTGTCCGCAGTTAATCTCCGCCAACTTGTGTTTTTGTCCTTTCATGTTTAATTTGTCGGTAGCAGTATTAACCAGGGTAGTAATTAAGAAAGGAATAGTCAATTTATGAGTTCAATGTAGTTTAGAACTCACCGGTGACAGTGCACACAGGTTAATGACGCACCCCGCAAAGTCCAATTTATCACTCGGCTGTTTTCCAAACCTACACGACTATGAGTTCTGCTCACAAATTGTCATAGGTGAAAGTAAATTGCAGCAAATAGAGCTGTCCAACCCCATCCAGAGAATATCCTCGATCAGCTAAGGATCTGATTATATCGTTTGTTAAAAGCGAGATCCTTCTGCACATAAAATGGTCCAAAAATGCGTACTAGATTTCATTCAATTCATAACACCACCTGAACTCCTGCTAACTTTCTCTTCAATGCGCATAGTAACATGGTCTTTTCAACTGAATTGAAGAAGGCTGGTTCCCTCGTGCTCATTGATAGTGTACGATTGGACTACGCGAAAACCGCTTGGTCGTCAGTTTTGAATACAGCGAACAGCATCCTACTCTTCTGTGTCGAAACACACTCGCTTCACTTTTCAGTAGTTAGGATACATTCTCCTAGCATGTCATCCATGTGTTCTGGTGCATCGTTTCGCGGCCAATCGGGTCGACAGAACCCGGATCCCGCTGCCCGCAGACCACTAAACGCACCGAGTTAATGGATCATTAATGGATCAATATCATATTAGTTGTTTGCTGAGTTTTCTTTTCCATGAGACCGAGATACTCAACCGCTGTTTCTATATAAAACACTTACGTAAAACCATTCTCCATATTTCAGAACTATTTCGCAATGCACTGGAAACCGAGGATGCCGTTAGAATTTTTTATGTATCAACGTATCATCTTTCTCCTGGCGCTGCTGCGGTTCACAGCCCTTTCGACCGATTGTCCAGTTCAGTGCAACTGTGTCCCCAATCGAATGAGCTGCGAAGTTCGTGGACTGAAGCAACTCCCCGAACCCTACTCATCACAACTTGAATCCCTCCTAGTTGAAAACCAGACGTTTGACAGTTCTCATCTTGGTCCAAGTGAACTCTCCATGTACCGGACCCCAGAATTCGGTGGCCATGTGCGCCTGAAGTCTCTCTACATACGGTCTTGCAATATTCGAACCATAGGAAGAAATGCATTTGAGTCTTTGGGGTCTCGATTGGAACTGTTAGATTTGACGGGTAACCCACTAAAGCACATCGCAGATTATGCGTTCACCGGTCTTGGACAGCTGACACTTATTCTAGACAAACTTGATCAACCTCCCGCATTTGACGACCACACTTTTTCTGGTCTAGTTCGAATGAAAAGCCTCATCATGCGACATTCCAAACTGACAACTTTACCATATCAACCACTTTTGCAGTTAACCAGTGATGGAAAGCTAGGCAAACTTCTGCTCAAGGGCAACCAACTCCGCAGACTGGATAGTAAATACGACCGAATATTTGCAAAACTTCAAGATTTTGAGATCAACGATAACCCGTGGCATTGTGATTGCCAGCTAACATGGTTGATCCGTCGCTATCGTACCATGCTGCAAAGGCGATCCAACTCGTACCACACACGGCAACGTCGATGGGATGGTCAGTTTTCCAATAATTGGGAACTGGAAGATAATCAGCCCAAATGTGCTGACCCTGCTAATCTGGCAGGCAGAAACTTTAGCGACCTAATCACTGACCTGAGGGAAGTATACATCCCACCAGATTCATTGTACAATGCACCGAAGATATTCCACTGTCCACCGCCGCAACTAGAGAGCTTGGATGTACTCATCGAGAGCCTTGATGGAGGAGAAAACGCTACCGCCAGTGGGTCGACTAGAGGCAAATCCACACCTAGCAAACCTGCAGTAAAGTTAAAGTGCGTTGTTCGAGGGTCTAGACAGATGCGAGTCTCTTGGCAATATCATCCACCGGGTCCTTTTTCTCCACAACCTATCGACAAGGACAGCAACTCGGTACGGTCGCAAAATGCAATGCTTAACCAATATGGGTTGTCAGCGGACGAAATAACTCGTGCAGAATCAAATATTGTGGTGGAGAGAATCGCAGAGTCTGATGCTTACTCTTGCCTTGGTTACGATGTGATTGGTAATGTATCAACGCTGGTTCGGATCAAATGGCCTCTCTTACCAACGTCAACCATTGCTGCACCAGTCCGCGTGGCCTCGGACCCGCCAGTCATGAACTACACCAGAGATCCTGTACCTTCTGACTGGTCCAAGGAAATTTTAATACCTTCCGACTCTGTACTGCATTCACCGCAATATAGCTTGAGTCAATTAATGGGTGCTATTATAGGTACATTTCTCTCAACAGTTTTGCTTTTCCTGGGGATACATTGTGCTTTGCACTGGCGCGCGAATATATGTGGAGCTCGCAAGAGTAGAAAGTCAGAGATGAACCTCGTTGGGAACGCGAGTGTTTCTCCGGCTGGAACATCTTCTTCGAATACGTCCTCTTCTAATACAAGATTGATCTCATCTCCAAAGCTAAACGAACTATCCTCAGTGAATATACCGTTTCACCTCAACCCAGATGCAATGTTGGTTTCGAAGAACTTTTTAAATGCTCACCTCTTGCAACAAGCAATGAATTCGGCAGCTCATATGGATAGCTCTAATCTTCCAGTTGGAATCGAATCCGCTAGCCTGCCAAATCCACTACAGACCCAGATGCATTTTCAGTCCACAATGGCTCCAGGAACAAACGCAATTCCTGTTGCGTACGAGCCAGTAGCCTATTCTGATATGAACAATTTGACTTACGACGTCCCTTGGATGGTCAACATGAGCAGAACCAACCCAATGCATTTCCAACCCAGTCAAAATTTGCGCTCGGAACAACAGATTCCCTTACTGTTCAATAATCAGTGTACTATTTCAAACCATCAGCAGCCCTTGATTGACCACAACTCTGGTCTACCTGCAACCCTTCAGATTCCCCCGCCCCCTTCAATACCCCAGCCATCACTGCCCGGGACCCCAAGCACCGCTACGATGAACAATGACACACTGAATCGAACGCCTTCTAGCGGAACCAATCTGATGATTTTACAAGCGGGATACCCTAATTCCAACCATGCACTGCTACACAACGCAACACTGGCTTCGACCATATCCTCCTCGCAACAGCAACCAACTTATTCATCCTAGTATCGACCATGAATGCGACAGTACAAACCAGCCTAGGGAAACCGGTGCACAACCAAACGATTGTTTACTTGTTTTCTCTTCCAGTGCGCATTTTACAAATAGCATTTTTCCCTCGGGAGCGGATCGGCTGCTCCAGTCTCGAACGTCTAATGAGCTGGCGCCTGAAGCTGTCCATCAATAACTGCTGTCGTCGACTTTCAAATTCACCCCTTGATATTTATCTGGCTGTGCAGTGAGAGAGATAGAGGCAGGACCGTATTGTCCATACTGGTATAAAGGTTGGTGGATTAACGAGACAGAAAAATGGAAAAATGGAAAAAGCAATATCTTGGTTCTCAGTCAAACGGAATGTGAGGCCTGTGTACATAACATCATCCTAATAAATTTTCTTCCTTCTATCAGATGTAAAAGAGTTGTGTGCGTCTGTGAAAAAAACTAAGTGAAATATTTGTGCTTGTCTGTCATGTTTTTTAAGTTATTAATTTTTCACTTACTGTACGCAAATATTTGAAAAAAAAGTCCAGTCTATCTGACAGACATCGGAGAGTTCTTCATCCTTGCTAAAAGAACTGACTTATTCAATGGGTGTCTGAAATTTTATGGATTTGAATAGGATACAGAGGACTGAGTCATAAGATAAACAGTCACTTCTGCCAAGCCCTAGATTTCGGTATAACTTTTGTGACTTCGAGAAATAGTTTTCCGTCTCTGTTCTCTTGATTTTGAACCCCCGTTCAATCGTATTCGAACATAATTGGTCGGGTGGTCCCTCTTGAGGAGTAAAGCGGTCTCTTGACATCAACGAAATTCATCAGTGTTGTTCCAAAATCCTTTAGGAATTTGAACGAAGGTTACAATAGACACCAAAGTTTTCAACAGTCCCAATCCGGGCATGAATGATAACCATCATCATTCCAGAGAGTGAGCCGTCCCGGGAAAGTGATCACCCTGGCGTTTTTTATTGACATCCGGTAGATTCGATTACCTGGTTTTTCGGGTTCAGATTTTGCACTTTGGATCCCGCCTCGTGAAAGCATAGCTCTGTTGACGAATACAGAAAAAGACACGCAAGATTTTCACTTACTTCCTTGAAAGTACAATTAATTTAGGCCATAAATTTCCGTAAGCTTTCGAAGGACATCATTACTAGCACTCTGTTTTGTACTTTTGGGTCCAGACCAAGATTTGCCATGGTTTTTGCGTGATACTGTCAGACCAACCGGTAAAAAACAACCGTGTGGTCGAAACTAGTCCTAATTGTTGCTGATATCTGTGTAAACTTACATTTGAATAAAAGCTACGCTCGGTTTTCGATCGTCCTCAGAGTTGTATGTGACATGAACAGTGCTCACCTAGTTTTCGCTTTGAATGTAAAATTACTGATCATTTATTGGGCTAACCCGGGGTGCGGTACGCAAGGTCATACAGTATCCTAAAAGTACTCGGCACTCATGATGGTGCTCGCCAATCCGATTCAGTGTGTTCCGAAAAAAAGATTCTAAACATCCGGAGAAGGATATCCGATAAAATGAAAGGCAGGACTGTATTCGCTGCACAGGAAGGTCGAACGCCAATGTGCAACGCATACACCAACTGTTAAACCACGCGTGACATCGAAGGCGCACAAAGCTGAGAAAGAATTTCGGCCTTCAAGACGGAATGAGCTGATGTAAATCGCATCGTCTGAAATGAAATGGTGTGACCCTGAGTCAATTAAGAAGTTTGAATTGGATGGCCTTGAAGGAAAGTGAGAAAAAACAGCTAAACTTTGGTCGTCAAGCTTGCAATAGTAGTTCAGTTTAGACTGTCATTTTCGCACGTAAAGGAGCGCGTCTGGTAAATCCTAACGAAAACCGAAAACTAGTTCATGCAACAAAACACTGAATGGCTTCTCGTTTTCTTGCTCCAGGTAGAGCTGGCTTCGTCAACTTTAAACAAGATAATGGGTTGTAGTCAGTGCAGTGTAGTCAGTTTCATCTTCTTAATCGTGAATGAGTCCGGATCATTTGAGAATAGCATTTATTCCACAACGTGAATAAGTTGGTATCCTTCTTAGTTAGCCTACATATGCGGTCAGACGTCGTTTGGATCCCAGATTACGGGCGGGAACTTAGAACTGGAACATCAGGTGCTAATCGGCCTACTAAGCTCCATTCAAGAAAGTTGTGCGTTACACTCTATATATTTTGTACATCCAAGACAGCTTTTAGCTCCCATGGACCCCACTTTCGGTTGGTGTTTTATTCGATGAGATTGGAAGATTCATTCAAGAGCCACCAACCTCCTTGGACTGCGATTTAGATCCTTTAATTTTGCGAAAAAATTGTCAAGAGTCTCGACAAAAAGCAACTGATAAGTTTATACAATTCCATATTGTCTGTCAGTCTCAAGATCAATCCATTAATGATGAAAAACACAGTCGATATTGGTTCAAGTGCGATGTTGGACAAACCTCTACACAAACGCTGCCGAAACTGATTAAGAATGATTACTCTAGGGAGGGACATTGCAGACTGGCGCCTGTCAATATGCTCAAATGGAGCACCTCCCTCTCTTCTCAGCCGCAGAAGCGTAACCGGTGGTAGGGCGCAACCTGCACTTCCTCTCTTACTGGTAGAGTCAGGAGACTAGATTTTAAGGGTCACGATGAAACTTTCACGTAGACAACAGAAATCAAGCAGTTCAACGGGAAGATTAGGGTGAGAAAATATACTTCAGATTGGCTTTACCCTGGTTCGCGTCAATAACTTTCGTACATACGAAATGTTCGCGCAGCAAGTTAGTGAATCACCATTTGAAGCCGACCGAAAAATCTTTCGGAATGAGCCTTGAAACCTGATGAAGAAGAGGCATGAGGCCTTGGTTTGTGTAAAAATGTGATAATCGTTGCATAAGGTATACTAAATTCTGTCGACGTAGGTTGTGAAGCAATCCTTGTCAATTGGTGCACGTAGTGAGCAGCAACCATCTAGGCAGCCGAGACCCGGAGTTCAGTTGAGTCCTTCATCTGGTCCAGTGGGTGTTAGTTTACCTCCAAAACATCTAATTAGGATCTTGAATTTCTATGAAGTTATGTAGGGAAGCTTTCTAATGTGCAGTGGATGCGGCAATGGCTTTGAAACTTTCCATTCTTTAGTATTAGGTAAATTATTTCTACATCTGTAAAACAGTGTTCCCTACGAAAGGTTGGTGGACAACTGGCGTAAAAGTAGTAAGGAGCAAAATGGTCGAGTCCCAGTTCGGGATAATGGTCTACTCGGTTGTATGGCTGTTTATCGTTATCGGAAATGGCTTGTTAAGGATGATTCCCAAGTGAACTATTTTGCCCACAGAATACGAGCATTTTTACTATGCTTTATCTGATCTTAGGGGCAAGATGGCTGAAGTGATTAGAACGCCAATTTACTGACGGGAAGGTCCGTTGTTGGTTCGAACCCGACATCTGCCTCCCGACCTAGCTTGTCTAGGCTAGGACAAGCTGGCAGTATCCCAACCCTCGTGCTTCCTTCGGGCTTGGTAGCGGGGCACCGGAAGGGTGTTACGGCTGAACGATTATATGATCTGTGGAAGTTCAATACGCTTGCCTGTAACTTATGTGGGCGACAAAATAATCCAATACTCGAGCTCATATGCGTCATAGATACCGTACTACGGTAATTAACGTAAGTTGCTCGGGCACTTTACCTGAGAGCGAGTATCATTCAGATGGCATAAGTTCGGTTTTACGGTTCCTTGTGTCTCCGCTCCACTGTCTTGCAAAGGCTTGAATCGCTAACACTGTTACTAGTAAGAAAGCTGCTTGATGAGGCACTGCACTATATTACTCTATACTATACTGTACTATAGCATGCCATAGCATGCCATACTATATTATGATTTACTACACTATGCTACACTACACTACTATGCTATACTATACTAAAACATACCATACTACCCTGTTATACCGTATTATATTATACAATATTATACTATACTACACTGTACTATACTGCACCATAATATACCATATCATACTATACTATACTATACTATACTATACTACAAAATTAAATTTTGTCGCATGACACCCATAAACAACATTTTTCAAAATTCCAACTAAAAGCTGCTACTTTGGGTGGCGCTGAAAGTCCGATAAACACTCACCGGAAGTTTTGACTTACCACAAAACGACAGACTGGATACTGTGGTAAGGCTGATAACCGTTGACAGAGATACGAGACAGCGAGGAACAAAATACAATAGAGAGAAGTTGGCAGTGATCACTTCATACTAAATACTGGTGCTTCCTTTAGATAAGGACTCGAATGAAATTCAGAATTCAGAGGCATTCATCGTTGTTCCAGTTTATGTAGAGTAGCCGGTCCGTCGATAAAAATGAAGGTTATTAGTTGAAGTCAAAAATCTTCCACTGTTGGCTGGCATTGTGCTTAGTGCAAGCGAAGCATTTGCCATAATCTGAAGGAAGACCCTAAAATTATGCTTCTTTCGGAGTTATTTGTTATCACTCCAAGGTTTTGCTACTTATTTGCAACCTGGCCATGTTCCCCCATCCATCGTGCGTCAAGGGAGACTCAAGAGCTGGACACTTTGGGCTACATCTTGGTTTCTTCCATGTTTTTGTGCCGGTATCCATAATTCGGCTGGAGATGACGCGGTTATCACCAAAATGAGGATTCGAATAACTGATTAGGTATTACCCTTCCTCAATCCTTAATGTAGCAGCAACGGAGCGCAAGCCTCCGTGTACACTCGTTACAGCACAAAATCTACCTTGGTCAAAACGTGCTATCTGGTTGTCCAGTCAACTGAGAAATTTGAGTGTGGTGCGTTTAGGTTAGCTATCCGACTGTATCGGTTGCAACTGTTTTTCAGATACGGATGTTGACCGCCCCGAGGGTTGGCTCCGCTTGTGTGTGTGTGTGTGTGTGAAAATTCTGTCAATTATACCGCACTCTGACGATGCAGGAAACCTAATTATCTCCCTTTGTTGATGGCTTAAGTTCAATTATGCCACGTAGGTGGTGCGTTGATTGGTTCCCAATTTCCATTCACAGAGAAGCATCACGGTAATATTGCAATGGTAAATTATCGGTGCAAAGGGGTGTTTATGTCGCCCGTAAAGTTGGCTCATCCTCTGGACAAAAAGCCGCATGGAAAATGTAAATCGACGCGTACATCTTTTTGAAAAAGAGCAGCAGCGCCTCAGAGGTGAAATTAGAGCCTTGTGTATGGCGAACTGCCACTTACTTGTTGTTTTGTGTAACCATGGGTTTTGGAAGGAAGCTTGGCCAAGTCACTTAAAAAGTCTGAGAATCAGCAAAGGAATAAAGGAATATTTAGGAAGATCACCATAATAAGTTTTCATAGCAAGCAGAGTGAATCAAAGACCTAGCGTCATCAAAACAATTCAAAGTCTGCGCACCCAACTTAGTGTAGTTAGTGCTCACCGGCATTCCCAAACAAACCCAAAGCAATGATAATCGCTGCACGACTTCTTCGGATTGCCTCAGCTTCAGAGGGAAC